AAACGCGGCTTTAGGGGAACAATGAGCCGCCCTTTGTGTTGGAGATTGTGCAGAAAGACCACAGATAGGTGTAGTAGCCCTGCCTTACATATGAAGTAGGAGAAGTAGAAAGACCAGGATTTCCCCGGATTAGGAGGATTTTCTCCCCCAAGTCTGGTATTGCACAATTTCTGGTGGGGGATTTTGGACCTTCCTCCCAAGAAGATGCTCTTGGGGATCCTCATAGCAATAAATGAGCCGCCAAGGGCTGATCCCAGTGGGGATGTCGGTGCAGCAGCCTCTGCCAGGCTTGGGGTCCCCAGGGACCCACAGATGTTTGGGGCTGGGCCACTCACAGGGTCACCCTTGGCACCAGGACCAGCTCAATGTGATGGTCTTGCAGGCAAGACCAGAGCTCAAATACCCCTCTGATGGTGATCCTACGCCATCCTGGCCTCCACATCCCTGAGCTGGGGACACCGTCGGGCTCTGGGGGTGACTTCAGGGGCTGGGATCCAAATGCTGGCCCTGGGAACACGGTTCAGCCCTGGGGACAGGGATAGGGATGGGGGCTGCTCCAGCGGATGATGGCTTTGCCATCCCGCCTGTCACCCATGCCTCCCTGCTGTTGCGGATCCGACACAGCTCGGAGCAGGAGCTGAGCAAGCGTGAGCACACCCGAAACCAGACAGCCCTGCCAGGCTGGGCCAGCCAGGACGGAGAGCACAGGCTTGGGGGCAAACGGCAGCAAGCACGTCCCAGAGCTGTTGGGGGGCCGTGGGCTGTGGGCCAGCCTTGACATGGCTACCCAGCTCGGGGACAGCCCTGCCCACCCACCGCAGAGCTTCTGCAGGGCTCAGGGCATCTCTTGACATCAGCAGGGTGTGCCGGGGGACAAAATGGGTCCAGGGGGGCTGAAGAGGCAGCAGGGCTGGAGCCGATGGAGCATTTTCCTCCCACTTTTCTGGACTTCACTGCCTGCTAAATTCAGAGTGGGTGGCCGCACCCCCAGGGAACTGGGGCTGGTGTGACTCCGGGGCTGTGAGCACCGTCCCCTGCTCCGTACAGCTGGGGAGTATTTTGTGGTGCTCCCGTACCCCGCAGGGACCTGGGTAGGCATTTCACAAGGGCCCAACCAGCCCCCGTGGCCGCTGCCCAACAGCTTCATGGGGACAAAGGGGACGTGTTGCATGGCAGCACGTGGCAGCCGCCCTGTGCTGCCCACGTCTCTCCCATGTGGGACCCTGGGGAGCGTGTCACAAGGCTGAGGGAGACGAGACAAGGCTGGGATGTGTTGGCACGGGGGCTCACAGCCTCCGCTGTCCCTGGGGACCTGGGACCCCCAGGGGATGGCATGGTGGCTCGAAGGCTGCTGCTGCAGTGGGATGGGGACAGCCGGAGGCAGAGCCCAGCTCAGGGTGCCCCTGGGACACCCGTCGGGCTCTGGCTCCAGCTTTGGGGCTGGAGCTTCAAAGTCCAGCCCTGCTGTCAGTGGGGATCCAAAGGGCACGGGGGCCCCAGGAACTGCCTTGCGTCATGTGCCAGAGCCATGCTAGCAGCCGGCCGGGCCATGACAGCTACCGCGGAGCTGTGCCAGAGCTGGAGGCATGTGCTCGGTGCTGGCTGTGGAGCTGTGCCAGCGCCCTGCAGCTGGGGGGCATGGCGAGGTGTCGGCCTGGCCTGTGGGTGACCCCCCCCAGCCCTGTCACATGTGATGCTGCAGCCCTCGGGGCGCTCACCCACCCGCCCCTGTTTGTGCAGCCGGCGCAGACGCTGGCAATGAGAGGTTCTTGGGTCCTGTTTGCCAAGTACCTGGAGAGGCCGGGATGAAAAGGCTGCACGTCCCCTCCAGCTCTCTCTGGCGGTGCTTTCGCACCTTCAAAGCATCCGGAGCCCCTTGAAGCCGGGACAAACTCCTGCCTCACCCTGGGAAAAGCCGAAGAGGTCCCCGAGGCCCGCAGGGAGGGGGAAGGAGACGTGGCCGAGAGCTATAGGTTGTAGGAGCCTTTGCTCCTGCGCCCGGGGATGTGTTGGTGTTGGAGCAAGGCGGCCTGGGGCAGTGTCAGCTGTGTCCCCAGTCCTGACCCTCCATCCCTGCTGACCCCAACGGCACTGGGGCAGGACGAACCTCCGCCCTGCCTTTAATGTTGACAGGGCAATTTGTTTCCTAAACAGAAAGGGCTTCAGCCACGCTTCCAGGGGAGCAGCCCTGGGGTGGGAGGAGCCTGGCTGGGGACACCCTGGGGACGAGCCCAGGGCTCCCAAACTGTCTGGGGACTGGGGCCAACACTGAGACCGGAGCACAAAGGGAACATCAGCCCGGGCTCCTTGGGACTGTGTGGGTCCCAGAGCTCCTGCCCCAGCCTTGCAGTCATGCGGGTGGGATCAGGATGCTCAGGGCTGCTCTGGATGGGCCAGGAGGGCATGTAGGGTGCTGCGGCCATCGCGGGGATGCCATGGCACCCTCGTGGCTGGGAAACCACAGCCCCGGGCCCAGCACCCTCCTGCTGCGCCGACCCAGATGGACGAGGCTAGCAAAGCTTTGCAAGCTCAGCTGCAGCTCGTGCCAGCAAGGAAAGGGCTGAGGCGGCCCTGGGGCACCCCACATGCTCGGGGACCCTGGGGACAGCCGCCAGCCCAGCGTCCGCTCCCGGCCCTGCTCCTCTGCCTCCCTCGTGCCCTCTGCCCGGCCCCGTGATGG